AAATTTCATTGTAAGGGCTCAATAGCAGAATAAAGATGACAGATAAAATAGTAAGTAAACTTCAAAACATACAAATTTGTTGTACGCTAGTACAAATTCTCTGACTCACTGATTAGCAACCCACAGGTGACTTTTCCTGCCCCAAGGAGACATTTGGCAAATCTGGACATACTTTTGGTTGCCACAGATTTGGGGGTGGAATGCTACTGACACCTAGTTAGTAGAGGCCAGGGTACATCTAAAAACCCTACAATTCGTAGGACAACACCCACCCCCAACACTGAAAAATTATTTGGCCCAAAATGTTAATCTGCCAAAGTTGAAAAAACCTGATCAAACTTAAGAAAAAGAAAAAAAAATTGAAACGAAAAAATGGAGAGAGCCCTGGATGCCTCTGGGACATCAGAAAGTCCAAAGTACATATAATTGGGGTGCCAAAAGGAGGGAATAAAGAGAGTTCAGCGGAAAACATACTTGAAGAGAGAATGGCCAAAAACTTGCCAAATTTGATGAAAGAAATAAATTTACAAATTCAAGAATCTCAGCAAAACCCAAAAAGAAAAAAACAATCAAAGAAAATTATACCAAGACATATCATAATTAAACTACTGACAACCAAAAATTACATAGGAATATTTTATATATACATACATACACACACATACATATATATAATATATATACATTTAAGTGTGATACATAAACATATATGATAGATACATATGTGATACATATGTGTATGGTATATCATGTTTTATGTATACATACATACACATATAATTGTGTGTGTATATATATATATATATATATAAAACATATAAAACAGATGGAAAAGGAAACAATATATACTCAAAAGCAGTTATTTTAATGACCATGGACTTCTCATCACAAAATATGGGGACAGTGAAACACTATCTCCAAAGTGAAAAAAAAATTCGTCAAAATAAAATTACATATCAAGTGAAAGATCTTTCTGAAATAAAGGTGAAAGAGAGAGTTTCAGTTAAAGGACAACTACACAATACAGTTGCCAGCAGTCCTGTTTAGGAGAATGGAGCTGATAAATATACAAGACTTCTTATTCTTCCAAAAAATTTTTAAATGCATACAACCATTTAAAGCAAAAATTAGGACATTCTATGGTAGTTTTCAATATCTATAAATGTAATATATATGAACAGCTGTAGCAAACTTTAATATTGGTGGATAAGGAGACATGTGGTACAAGATTTCAATATTTTACATGAAATATTAAAATGTAACTCTCAGTAGACTCTGAATGGTAGGCAGGTATGTTGTAATCTCTAGAACAACTACTCTAAAAAAAATACAAAGAGAAATAGCCAAAAAGCCAATAGATGAAATGGGATATTATATTAACAGGGATTCAAGTAATCCAAAAGAGTCAGGAAAAGAAGGAAAGAGAGGATTTAAAAAATGGGTAATAATGGGATATTATATTAACAGGGATTCAAGTAATCCAAAAGAGTCAGGAAAAGAAGGAAAGAGAGGATTTAAAAAATGGGTAAAACAGAAAAGCAATACTAAAGTAGTATACCTAAATCCAGGCAAAGTAATGTACAGCAACAGATAAAAAAGATGACTTGCTCAGGTCTAAGGTGGAGGAAGGAATGGATTGTAAAGGGCAAAAGGAATCTTCTAGGGTCATAGGAATGTCTGTCACCTTGATTGGGGCATATAAATATATTTAAACTGATCAAATTATGCACTTTGACTATGTGCAGTTTATTAACTTCAATTATAAATTAATGAAAAGTGAAGGCCATACTACAAGACTGCTCCTCTGGTCTTTGTACTTACCTATTTGTATCCCTTCTACCATTTCCAACATGAATCCCAGATGAACTAAAAATTAATTGTTTTTCTTCTTTCTCCTATCTAACATCCCAAATCCTAAGGAAAAAGCATCCTAGACTTTTTTGCCTTAACCTCACTAAGACTCTCCACTATCTCACAACAAAAATAAAGCCAGAAGGCAACAGGGAGGCTGTCAGATGCAGCTCCATACTCCCTCTATCCAGTACATGGCCCCAGGTTGCCTCCAAGTCCAGCTTTTCTACCCTAGGTCCTTTTCTGCTGCAGGAAGGGGAGACTCAGGTATACTAGCCCGCTCATCAGAGATCAAACTTGGCCCCACTGTACGCAATTACATCTACTCAAAGTGTCTTTCAGTATGTGTGAGGAGAAAAGCCAGCAAGACCATCCTGAGGCAGATCTACAGTTGCTCAAAATTTCTGATTAATCTCTTGTTCAACCTCCTCCTTACATCTGCAATGTGTCTATGGATATACACTGATGTAAGAACTTTAGATTAATTCTCAAGACACATGTTTTGAGAAACTGAATTTGATTCCTAGCTTGGCTACTATCTAGGAGATCATGGAAAAATGACTTTAATCTTTTGGGACTCAGTTGCTTCATATATGTAATGGACATTGTAATATGTAACACTTTTTGATATAATTAAATAGTATGATGCACATTAAAGACAGAATAGCAATAACGTGGAGTAAGCCCTTTATTAGGATATAAGCTCTATCAGAGCAGCAAATTTTGTCAGTTCTGTGTATTTACTGTCTTTTACTTTATCATCTGTACAGAGTATGCACAAATAATTCCTTACTGAATAAATTTCATCAATGAAAAGAATTTGTAGCTTTTTTGTGGTAGTGGGTTTTCCACTCATTTATTAATTTAGCAAATATTTGGAGAGATTTTACTGTGATGCAGACACATTCTAATTGCAGAGACTATAATAGTTTTGATTTAATATGCATAGAGCACAGCAGTCTATGTCCGTCATATAAATTCCCCAAAAAGAAACTGTAAGACATATCCTTCTCCTCTCTTCATAGGTGGGGTCATATGTAGAGTCTATCCTCCTTTCTTTCTTTCTTTCTTCTTTCTTTCTTTCTTTCTTTCTTTCTTTCTTTCTTTCTTTCTTTCTTTCTTTCTTTCTTTCTTTCTTTCTCTTTCATTTCTTCCTTGCTTTAAGAATCTATTGTTTCTTGGAAGAATAAAGCTGGGGTTGATTACACTTCCCAACTTCAAGTTCTACTACAAAGCCACAGTAATCAAGACAATTTGGTACTGGCACAAGAATAGAACAATGGACCAATGGAACAGACTAGAGAGCCCAGATATAAACCTAAGCATGTGTGGTTAATTAATATATGATAAAGGAGCTATGGACATACAATGGGAAAATGACAGCCTCTTCAACAACTCATGTTAGCAAAACTGGACAGCTACATGCAAGAGAATGAAACTGGACTATTGTCTAACAACATACAGAAAAGTAAACTTGAAATGGATCAAAGACCTGAATATGTCATGAAACCATAAAACTCTTAGAAGACAACATATGCAAAAATTTATTGAATATAAACATGAGAAAATTCTTCCTGAACACATCTCCTCGAGCAAGGGGAAAAAAAGCAAAAATGAACACATGGGACTACATCAAACTGAAAAGCTTCTGTATGGCAAAGGACACCATCAACAGAACAAAAAGGCATCCTACAGTATGAGAAAGTATATTCATAAATGACATATCCAACCAGGGGTTAACATCCGAAATATATAAAGAACTCACACACCTCAACACCCAAAAAGCAAATAACCTGATTAGAAAATTTGCAGAGGATATAAAGGGACAGTTCCCCAAAGAAGAAATTCAGATGGCCAACAGACACATGAAAAGATGCTCCACATCACTAATCATCAGGGAAATGCAAATTAAAACCACAATGAGATATCACTTCACACCAGTAAGGATGGCCAGCATTAAAAAGACTAAGAACAACAAATGCTAGTGAGAATGCAGAGAAAGAGGACCCCTTCTACACTGCTGATGAGAATCTAAGCTAGTTCAACCATTGTGGAAAGCAATATAGAGGTTCTTCAAAAAACTAAAAATAGAAATACCATTTGACCCAGGAATCCAGCTCCTTGGAATTTACCCAAAGAATACAAGTTCTCAGATTCAGAAAGACATATGCACCTCTATGTTGATCACAGCACTATTTACAATAGGCAAGATATGGAAGCAACCTAAGAGTCCATCAGTAGATGAATGGCTAAAGAAGACATGGTACATATATACAATGGAATACTATTCGGCCATAAGAAAGAAACAAATTCTACCATTTGCAACAACATGTATGGAGCTGGAGGATATTACGCTCAATGAAATAAGCCGGGCAGAAAAAGACAAGTGCCAAATGATTTCCCCCATTTGTGGAGTATAACAATGAAGCAAAACTGAAGGGACAAAATGGCAGCAGACTCACAGTCTCCGAGAAGGGACTAGAGGTTACCAAAGGGAAGGGGTGTGGGAGGGCGGGTGGGGAGGGAGGGAGAAGAGGACTGAAGGGTATTACGTTTATTACACATGGTGTGGAGGCACACGGGGAGAACAGGGTAGCACAGAGAAGGCACATAGTGGATCTGTGGCATCTTGCTGCACTGATGGACAGTGACTGCAATGAGGTATGGGTGGGGACTTGATAATATGGGTAAATGTAGTAACCACATTGTTTTTTCATGTGAAACCTTCATAAGACTCTATATCATAAATTCCTTAATAAAAAAAAGAGTCTTGTTTCTTGGGCTGAAGCTTCCCTAGAAATCATCTGTTTTGCCCCAGCTTGTCAGGGAGACATTAAGCATTTGATTTGTTACAGGTGTATTGTTAAGTACAATATTTCCCTGGAATACCTGGGAAAATGGCAGGGGGCTAGAATTTTATGCAGGATGAACACCTAGATCATTTCATTCATCCTAGGTTTGATACTTTCAAAATCACAAATTTCAGCCATGATTAAGGAACTATGGTGACAGACTGCAGTCTCACAATTAAAGCATTCAGATGGGGCATGTGTACTTCTTCTTTTTCTTTTGTGTTCTTAGAGTTCATTTGGATGACTTTCACACTAGCAGAGGTGCCTGGGGTGAGGACCAGGTAATAACATAATACACTAGCTCCCGGTTCCTAAACCAGAGCGGATGAAACAGGCAGACACGTTCAGCACCCAGCCCCGAGTTCTGTTCAAGAGTTTGTGCTCAGCTCCCCCTGCAGCTCCTGTCACTGTGTCACTCAGAGCACAGTAGTACACAGCTGAATCCAGCTCTTGGACTGAGGCTTTCTCCAAGTGGAAGGAGGAGGCTTCTTTATTGTACGTGGCTTCAAAACCTTTGTTCCTTCCCTTCTCGTTGGCCTTTGTAGCTTTCAGGAGGAGCTGTGGACCTGCTCTGGGATACTGCACATACCAGAAAAGAGTGGGGTACCCTGTGGCTGAATAAGTGCAGTTCATAGTCATGGAATCCCTTTCCAAGAAGGTCACTTGTCCTTTTGCCTGGTTCACCGAGTTTCCATTGCTTCGTCCTGGAAAAAGAAGAAAAAGAAATATTAACAATAATGGTTCTGGCTACCTCAGGCACTATCTGGGCTCTACATCTTAGAGAAAATTGTTAACACTTCACCAACTTAATGAGAAAACTTTAAGCTTTATATGCCATTATATTTACCAAACATTAAGAATAGCACAATCATTGATCCCAGAGACAAGTTCATTCTTGGAGTCTCTGGTGTCCTTGGGTCCTGACTGCCTAGTGGGAGGAAAAGTTAGAGTCTCGACAGAAGTATGAACGTGAGCTCAGAATATAAGCAGGAAATGCGTATGTGTTAAATGAGGCACCCCCCTGTGGGCAAAATATAAACTCAGAATAATGTTAACAACCACTACTCTCAAAAGTCAGTCCTTGATCTTCGCTTCTGACTCTATTTCTATCACACCTGTTAGCTGTCAAGATGGTCCTTTGTAAATATTTCTAAGGAATACTTGGTATGTTTTTAACCCTGTTTTTTGCTAGCACACTACCTGATGAAGGAGCTTCATATCATTACATTTCTGAGAAGAATTCAATTTTACTTTTTCTTATATGCCATTTCTGTCCTCCTTGGGAAACGAAATAAGATATAAGCCAGTTTTAAGGTAAAATTGGAAGAATGTCAGTAACACATGTTTAGTCTTTAATAGATGGTTTTTGGATTACAGGAACTTAAACTTTTTCTTCACCACTTATTCCCACACTTAGAACAATGTTGCATACTTAGCAGGTGGCCGACAACTATTTCTTAAGTGTATAAATAAAATAAATAAATAAATGGCCTTTGGTTGAGGAATTACCGCTACTTGAACTACCATTATTGCTTCACATCTAAGACATCAATTGTAAGAAAAAAAATTTAATAAAAGCTTTCCAAAGAAGATAGAAATTTTGTGTTAGATTTAAAAGTGAAAAATATGAACTTACACAGCTTAATATTTAAAAAAAAACAAATGACCTGAGAACGTGAAAGGACATATTTTCCAAAGACATGGAGATGGCCAACAGGCACATGAAAAGATGCTCAGCATCACTAATTGCCGGAGTCCAGCTCCCACGGGGGGTGTATTGCCCGAAAGGATGAGACAGAGTCAGTGCACGGAGAGACAGGACACGGAGTCAGTTGGAGGAGGTCTCTCAACAAAGTGCCAATGACATCTTTATTTATACCATTTCGCACAAGGACATGATAATTTTTTATTTGTTCTTTTGATTAATAAGTATACGCAAGCTTTTTTCTTTCTGTTTCTTTCTAATCTATACATGGTTAGCCAAGTATTAGACAGGTGATTTTTTTCTGTTCCTTGACTTAAACTTTTCCTAGCAACATGTACTCTATTGTGTCTCTCGTTTCTATGCAACACAGTTTCTAAATAAGGCATGTGACCACAGAAGCGTGCAGCATGTTAATAGTGGCTATGGAGTCTATCAGCTCAGGGTGAGATACGGGTCACTCACTGTCACAGTTGGCTAGGCAGGTATCATCATCTATATTTCTAATACAATGGGTACATTTTATCCCCTCACAGTACTTATTCTATCGTAGGTAGATGCAAGATAAAGATAGAAAGCATGATTTATTGCTGTAAGAAGGCAAGTGTAGATGATCAGGTCTGTGCCTATAGACTAAGTATTAATCCAAGTTAGACAAGGGCCTTAAAACATCCACGGGTGTAGAAGATTTCTCTCAAAACTGGGGGCTGACATTCTAAGCCTCACCTCTATTGGACCCCACTTTCGCACCTGATGGCCCCCCTGCAACTGTGCCTGTCTTAGGTTGTTCCTCCCTTGAGGAATCTTACCCATCTCTGGCTAACCAGCCGTCTTCCGAGGCCACACAGGGAGATGTAAATCTGGTAAGAGAGAAGTAATATTCTTTGGAAAGGTTAGCTTTTCACTTCTTTGCAGATTTATGCTCCGTGGCTTCTATGCCCAGCACTTGTCTTGAGGTATCTTTACCACTTGGAAGAATTATGGTACTTGGTAATTTCACGTACGAGGCACGAATTTTAGTAAAGGGCTGTAATTAGGGAGGAAGAAGAAAAGCTATAGAAGTAGCAGATGGAAGAAAACATGAGAAGATTGATTAAGTGTCAGGGTTATTCCATTCAGTATTCCCCTATAACTCTATTTCTCTAATTTTCCTATAAAACTCTTCATCACTAATTTCACTAGCATTACAAACAAGGGGGGCATTCCTACTTAGGTGGAGATGGGGTACTCAATGTTTGACTAACTACAGGTTTTGGTATTCCATGCCAAGATCGCCATTGGGCCCCTGCGTGTTCTATTCTTCAGGAGCACTGTCCTGAAAAGCTTCTGGGAAGTTTATGTTCTCATCCTTTCCGTGCTGCTTATCAAAGGTTAGCTTAGTCCTTGGCAAAAATGCAAGCAAAAGCAAAGCCAATAGTATAATGGAGAATAACAAAATCAAGGTGGGTAATAGGGGAAGCCAGCTGTGAAGGCCCCTGTTTTGTGGGGGTCTTTCTCCAGCCTGAGCTTTGTTACACAGCTTGAGTAGCATGGCTCCCTCCAACTAATCATCAGGGAAGTGCAAATCAAAACCGCAGTGAGGTATCACCTCACACCAGTAAAAATGGCCACTATTCAAAAACGAGAAATAAAAGTGTTATCAAGGATGTGGAGAAAAGGGAACGCTCATGCACTGTTGATGGGAATGCAAACTGGTGCAGCCACTATGGAAAACAGTATGACAGTATGAAGTTTCCTCAAAAAATTAAAAATAGAGCTTTCGTATCAGTATTTATTCCACTTCTGGGTACTTATCTGAAGGAAACAGAAACACCAATCCAAAGTGATATATACACCCTTATGTCCACTGCAGTATTATTTATAATAACCGAGATACAGAAGCACACTAAGTGTCCATCCATAGATGAATAGATAAATTAGAAGTGGCACATATACACAATGGAACATTACTCAGCAGAAAAAAAAATGAAATCTTGGCATTTGTGACAACATAGATGAACCTAGAGATATTACTCTAAGTGAAACAGGTCAGACAAAGATAAATACCATATTATTTCACTTATATCTAAATAACAAAACAATCTAAAAAATAAAACAAGACAAAACAGAAACAGAGTCATAGACACAAGAAACAAACTACTATTTACCAGAGACAGGAGAGGTTGGGGGGCAGACAAAATAGGTGAAGGGGATTAAGAGGTACAAATTTCCTGTTATAAAATAAGTAAGTCACAGGGATGTGATGCACAGCATAGGGAATATAGTCACTAATATTGTAATACCTGTATGGGGACAGTTGGTAACTAAATTTATCCTGGGAATCATTTGCTAATGTATAAAATATGGAATCACTATGACATACACCTAAAACTAACAGCATATTGTATGTCAATTATTCTTCAGTAAAACAAGTGGAAACATGAAACTAAAGATTAAAGAAATACAATAATTAAAGTTACTGAATCCTTGTAACATTATCTAGCCTCACTTTCTTCCCCCTTAGGATTTTAATGATTCCCAGATAATCTGGCCTATGTGCATCAGGCAAATGCTCTGACACTATATTTTAATAGATGTTTGCTCTCTGCATACAACCATCTGCCAACATTATTGACCTATAGAGTTGAACAAAATCATTTTCACGACATCATAGCATACCCAGATAACATGGATTTGCCTCTAAAGAAAAAAGAATGGACTCAATTTCAGCTTCTGGGATTGGCAGCCACATGTCTGTACAGAAGCACTTTATAGCAAGGGTGAAACTTTTTTTGTGTAAGACTTAGTTGTCATCAACTTCAAAATACAGGTTTGGAGAGCTCTCCACTTATTTACAAAATTGCAAACTCCAGCTTAAGGTCTGGAAAGTTAAAAATCCTACGTGGTTTGTGTTATAGCCAATGTTATACCAATTTACAGAATAATCTCTGGGAACCCTGAACTGAAAAGACAGTCAAGGTCCCAGTGAAGCACTTCTGGGGTCAGCTGGGAAAATGCCTCCTGCCCTCACAGAATGTTAGACATCTTCATTTCACGGTGGTCCCAAAGTCGCACTAGCAAAACAAATACTCTCACTCTCACTATTGCTGAGCGTTCAATTTATAAGAAGAAAACTAAATGTTCACAGGACAAACTTAGGGAAAAGGATGCCGTTTATTGGTCAAGTGCCACCAACATTCACTTTCGAACACAGAAGACTTTCTCAGTGTGCCTCCTGGGAAACTCTTTCCATGAATTCAGAAGGCAGCCTCACGGTCCTGCGTCAAGGTATAACTAGCAACAAGCGTCAGACATGGTTAGAGAACCTAGGTCTGGATATCATTTAGGTTCATAATCGCTTCTCTCTCTTCCTTTTTCCTCTACCCTGGGTCAAATCTCTGTCTAGGACAGCATCTGCCTCCTCTTTTCCTGGTTCTTTTGGCCCATGCCTCCAACCTACTTCACCTTAAGTCAAAGTAAAAATAAAGGGAGTGAACAGTCTGACTCTCCATGATTTCCTTTTGCTTTTCCAAGTCAGCCTTGCCCCTTGTGTTGTAGTAACCCTCCACCTTTGAGAGAATCCATTATCTGTGCCATGAATTCCTAAGTAGATGAATGTCACTGAGGAGTTGAAGATTTCTGATATAGATTATCAGAATTTAAGATATCAAAAGAATAAGAATCTATTATTATAACTGTAAAAAATAAAACTTTACTTTAAAATAAATGGAATTTGCCATCCAGATTTACCGTCTCCTCTCTCCTTAGTAGTCCTTGAAGAAAGACTAAAAAATATGACAATTCACCATTCTTTCTGCAAGAGTCCCAATTTACTAAAATTTACATGTGCACACCATGTAAGCTATTCACCATCCCAATCATCTCCATTTCCATCGTCCTAGGTGGGGCACCTAAACATCAGAGGGAAAAACACTCACAGAAAAGAGTCAGGAAGAAAAATCCCAGGAAAACTATTTTTAAATTACTAAATTGGGAAGGCAGAAACAAGGAGATAAGTTTACAAAAGGAGCTGACCTTTTCTTTTGGATTATTGAAAGACAAAATGATGAATTTAAAATAAAACTCTCCTGTGCCATGTCCCAATCTATGAGAGCGTAACAGCCGCACGCTGGCTCAGCAAGTCGCTGAACAACTTTATACTGTACATGACACACAGGCTGCAAGGCCGGAGCCCAGAACCTTTCTGATGCACTTATCTCCCTAGCATCTCAGAGTCTGTGTGCTGCTCCCCCTGTAGCCCCAGGCACTGTGT